TGAAATCCAAAAATTTTGGAAGACCCACAAATTTCGGGCCTTCCAGCTCCACCAGAGTAAATATGCAGAATATTGGATCCTTTGCATAGATAGAGGAGAAGGCTTGATGCTGCATACTTTCATCCACTAGTTCTTGAAGGAGGAGGTTTCATTTGCCAGGCCTTCCCATGAAACTAAAGCCAGCTTCCACACTTTCTCAGCTTTGCTACAGTGGAAAAAGAGATGTTCAAGTGATTCAGGAGCTTCCCCATAGGATTTGCAAGCTGTGTCAATGGAGAGTCCCTTCTTGAGGAGGTTAACAGTGACTGGTAGGATGTTGGATAAACATTTCCAAAGGAAGTGTCTCACTTTTCCTGCAATGTTGAGTTTCCATGTCAATCTTCTGGTTTTCAGGATGGCAGCTTGTTGATGACTACATTCTGGCATGTTCAGTTTAGACCATTTATCTTGCACTAACATATCATAGATCGCAGCAACTGAAAACTGCCCATTTTTGTTGGGATCCCAGACAATTATGTCGGTGCTATTAGGATTTAAGTCTCGAATGTTTAAGATGGCCTTGCTCTCTTCTGGTGGAAAGCTTCTAAGGACAAGTTCCTTGTTCCAATTCCAGTCTGTGTCATCCACAAGTTCAGCCACTCAAGTTAACTCCTGTCTGCTGGGATTGTCTGGGTGAGGTTTAAAGCCTTTCAACTTTGGAATCCAAGCTTGGTTCCAAATATGAGTAGCAGCTCCTGATTTGATTTGGTATCCAATGCCACATAGAAGATCATTTTGGGCATTCATCCACCTTGTCCAGAGCCATGATCCACTGGATTTTTATTTATTTTTTTTGCTGTGAGGATAGAGCCTTCTGGGAAGTATCTGGCTTTGAGTAATTTGCTCACCAAGAGGTTAGGGTTGTTGTTTATCCTCCATAGCTGCTTGGTAATCAGTGCTCTATTCAGTACTAAAAATTTAATAATACCATGTAGATGAAAGTGCAAGTAATTGCTATCTCTATTTTTCAGTTTTTTTTTTCTTCCTCAATGATTCTATGTAGTTCTAAAGGTATAACACATCATGCCTAGACAAATAAGTATTGGCTTCAAAATTCGGAGTTTGATAGAGTAGAAGATTGACTGAGTAAGAACATAAAGAACACCAGAGGAAAGTTCAGAAGCCAATTGCCAAGCCAATATTTGCTTGCTTTTCAAAACCATTTTTTTTTTCAACGTTGGGTGCTTGTTTTGAAGGAAACATATATCCAAATGCCAAACAAACAAGATTGATGAGTTCAATAAGGCTATCAAGCAAACTGAGTGGACAAAAGATGAAATGGAAGTATATCTTTCATTTATTTATTCATTTATTATTGTTATTATTATTATTTTATTATTATTATTATTATTATATTATTTATTCGATTTATTTATCTTCTCTAACCAATTAAAATCTTACACATCTCAAATTGTGTTACAGTTAACATTAACCATTAGATATATAGTTTCTTAATTTTTTTTCCCTTTGTCGTATATCTCAAAATGGACAATGTGTCATTGAAGATACTCTTAATTTTTTGTATCGCCGGTCAATACTAAGGTTTTCTTAATATATTAGCATCCCACGGACATCCCAGTGACGCACGACGTTCTTCGGTGATCAGCGAGCAGTGGTTGAGACTCGAGAGTCTCAGACAATCTCCATCAAAGAAATCAGAAATGTCTAGGAGTCTGAAAAAATTTTGAAACGTAAGTCCTCAATCATAACAATAGATTCCGCTGCGTTAGGATTAAATTCAATAAGTATTTGGATGTGAACATGAGTTGACCTTTTTAATCGAATCAACAACTGATATTAGAGCCTAGCTAATTTGGCTCTTGTGTACACTTCGAATTAGAATTATGTGAACATACGTGAAATAATTGTGTTAGGGTGCAACACATAATAGTATAGAATTTCACAGACACGCGAGCCCGCAAGCAGCCCGACGAAGTAAAAAAAGCAATCGCCATCTCCACCGCCAACTCGAAACACGCCGTCGCCGTACGAATCGCTTCCCCTTGAGCCGTTTTTATGTCGGAAATTTTTGTCTGACTATTATGGCCCCTATGTATGTGCTTTATGCATGTATGCATTTTTAAAGCCTCAAATATGTCAGAAAATTTATGGGTTATGAATGATTGTATTATTTTAAGCGCGCGGTGGGACACCACATAGTTTATCGTTTTAGTAGAATCATTCATGTACGCCGCCTGCGTGGGTCATAGGTCGGTTTATGTAATTGTTTGTTATATTTATCGACTAATCTGAAATATCGAGGACGAGCCCAGACGAGTAAGGACGCGATTGGTGCAACCCCAGGCGAGGCAAGCTAAACCGCGACCCGTGGTTGCCGGTGCACGACATATCGTACGCATGCTGGCATGCCCGCGGAAAGTTCGTTGCCATGCGTGGACGTTGCTGGGGCATGCGTCGAGACCCCTTGCAACTGGTGATGGGAGACAAGTATGCACACGTTGCGACAGAGGCTGCATGTCGTGGTTAGGCGAGTGTGGGCGACGTGAGCGCGCGCTTTGTGTGCGCAGGTTCGAGCGTTCGCCGTGCAGCACCTTGCAGCACGTGATACGCGGTAGACGCAAGCAACGATGCTCCGAATGGCCTAGGCCTTCGTGTGTCTTACTCCTGCAGCTGTTCGCTGCATGTGCACGACAGAGCGCTCGAGAAGCTCGGACCCCACGGCTGGCAGCGCGCGGTTTTGCGCGCGCGACAGTGCCCAACGCAGCTTCTTTGCATGTAGGGGTCAAGGTAAAACTAGACGATAGTTGGGGCACACCGAGGAGTCAACGACGAGCCCTAGCATGGTGACGACTCGATGATGATTTTCCACAATGGCTACTTTTTTTTACGACGATGGCAGTCCAGCGAGGGCGGCAGTGATGGGTGACCAATCGTCAATTACGTTCGCCTGTCTATCGCATAGCTTTTTGCATCAATTATCTTTACCTGGCCGTGGCATAGTACATCACCTAATTATTTTTCATTTTGACAATTATGTTCGCCTATTTGTCGCATAATTTATCGCATAACTATTTTGCACTTATTCAATTATGTTCGCATGTCTGTCGCATAGTATATCACATAATTGTGTCGTACTTTATCAATTATGTTTGCAGGTTTGTCGCACAGGTTATTGCATAACCATTTCGCACTTTATCAATTATCTTTGCATATCTGTCGCATAACTTTTTGCATCAATTATTTTTGTCTGTTTGTCGCCTAACTACTGCATACTTTTTTCGCACTTTATAAATTATGTTCGCATGTTTGTCATATATTTTATCGCATAACTATTTCTCACTATATCAATTATCTTCGCATGTCTGTCGCATGGTGTACTGTATAACTGTTTCGCACTTTATCAATTATGTTCACCTGTTTGTCGCATACCTATCTCACACTTTATCAATTATATTCACCCGTCTGTTGCATGGTGTACCGCATAATTGTTTCGCACTTTATCAATTATGGTCGTCTGTATGTCACATAGTTTGTCGTATAATTATTTTGTATTTTATCAATTACCTTCGTCTGTCTGCCGCATAGCTTTTTGCATCAATTATCTTCACTTGATTGTCGCATAGTTTATCTCATAATTATTTTGCACTTTATCAATTATATTGGCCTTTCTGTCGCATATCGTTTCACATTGTATCAATTATCTTCTCCTCTTTGTTGTATAGCTTTTCACATAATGTTTTCGCACTTTATCAATTATCTTCGCATGTCTGTCGCATAGTTTATAGCATAATTATTTTGCATTTTATCAATTATGTTTGCCTGTTTGTCGAATAGCATATCGCACAATTATTTCACACTTTATCAATTATATTCGGTGTGATGCATAGCTTTTCGCATCAATTATCTTTGCGTGCTTGTCACATATTATATCACATAATTGTTTCTCACTTTATAATTTATGTCGCACAGTTTATCACATAATTATTTCGCACTTTTTTAGTCATGTTAAGTATGTCTGTCGCATAGTGTATCATATAATTGTTTCACACTTTATCAATTATGTTCGCCTGATTTTCAGTTTATCACATAACTATTTTGCACTTTATCAATTATCTTCGGTCTGTATGTCGCATAGTTTATAGCATAATAGTTTTGCGCTTTACAAATTATGTCTGTTTATCGCATAATGTATCGCATAACTGTTTCACACTTTATCAATTATATTCGTTATGTTGCACTTTATCAATTATGTTCATCTATTTGTCGCATAGTTGATCGGATAACTGTTTCACAATTTATCAATTATCTTCTTCTGTATGTCAAATAATTTATTGTATAATTATTTCACATTCTATCAATTATGTTTGTCTATCTGTCGCATAAATTAGCGTAGAGCTGTTTTTTCAAGTGAAATAATTAACTTTTTATTTGATGGTTTATAAAATTTAAAATTTATTATGTCGTTGGAGGTGAAAATAACTATTCCTCATTAATTATTTACTCACAAAATTATCGGTCGCTCGAAACCATTTTTAATTTGGAGCCCGTCCCCCTAAATGATCTAATTCACACTTGCACAAATCTCTCTCAAACAAAATCCAAGTCTCCGAATTTGAGAAGCCGGCTTAACTAATTGCTTCCGCTCGGTAATCCTACTATCATTCTCTCCCTGCGTTTTCACGCAAACTGTAATTGTATGCAACTGCGCTTACCGTGTTTGTTTGTTTAATTTCGTATGGATTCTAATTTTGAACTATGAGTCTATGGCCCAGATCTTGCGATCTGCTTCTTGATTTTGGTTTTCTGTTTTGTTTGAGCTCTATTTTGTTCGGTAATAATTTAGTTTGTTACCCTAGTTTAAACTTATGGGCCGTGCTGGGACTTTCTCAGCGTTATAACTATATCGGAGCTGGAATATGATTTGGTGTTCGTCTGCAATTTTCAGTATACTCAGTGGGTTGATCTGATTTCCTGATTTGATGACCTGAATTGCGCTTTTTCTCTGGAATGTATAGATGTTGCCTGTTCGATTTTTGAATCCTGCCAATGAGTTCTAGTATATGGCGTGCTTAATTTCCTTGAAGCCTTTACATTTGNTGCAATATATTTTTTTTTTTCCTTTCATTTAGTAAATTAAGACTCAATTTTCGGTTAACCTTTTTGTTCCTTGACTATTCAATGAAGCTTGCAGCTGCTTACTGTTTTTGTGGCGCAATGTCGATGGTGGATGAGCCACTGTATCCTATAGCTGTACTAATTGATGAGCTAAAGAATGATGACATTCAGCTCCGTTTGAACTCCATACGTAGACTGTCCACCATTGCACGTGCGCTTGGTGAGGACAGGACCCGGAAGGAGTTAATCCCCTTTTTAAGTGAGAACAATGACGATGATGATGAGGTTTTGCTTGCTATGTCTGAGGAATTGGGCGTTTTTATTCCTTACGTTGGAGGAGTTGAGCATGCACATGTTTTGCTACCTCCTCTGGAGACACTCTGTACTGTGGAGGAGACTTGTGTGAGAGAAAAGGCTGTGGAGTCTTTGTGTAGAATTGGTTCCCAGATGAGGGAGAGTGATTTGGTTGACTGGTTTGTTCCTCTTGTGAAGGTTGGATTTTAACTATCCTTTTTATTTTCCTTATAATTTACTAGGTTTAATGATAAGCCTTTAGTTTTAATATAATTACAAAAGATAAAATTGAACTTTTAATTTCAGATTTAGAACGGCTCATTTTATATTTGTTTAACAAGTTGCAGGATTGGAAGTGATTTGTTAATTAAGTTAATAATTTCGATGAAGCGTTTGTTATACTTTAAGGAGGTTGTGTAGTTATGAGATAAGTGATGTTCTTTAATAATTAGCTAAACATCTGAAGGGTGCATTCGTAACTACGAAAATTAAGATGTTCTTCTCTTTGTACTCAGTTTGACTCTGGGGGTCGTTTTGTGAGACACTTGTGACCATTGTGTTAACTGGTTTTGAGACACGCGCACACACACACGCACAAATCTGTGTGTTTGTTTGTTTGTTCATGTTTTCAGTTACACTGGGTGGAGTCATTTAAGTCTCGCCTATTGCCTCAGGCTCGAGCTATAACCTCAAGTAAAATACTTACATTACCATTTTCTAATCATGCGTTTGGGTAACACTATCGCTTGTGATTACTCTTAGAATGTTAGATCTAATTGTTTTTTCTCTTCCTTAATCTTGCATGTAATCACTGGTTCACTCTCCCAAAATTTAGCAATTCTGATTCTCTATGCTAGATACTTATATATTAGTTCTGATTGGGCTCATTCAACTTAATCTACAGAGGCTAGCAGCTGGCGAGTGGTTTACAGCCCGTGTGTCAGCTTGTGGCTTATTTCATATTGCTTACCCGAGTGCTCCAGATGCACTGAAGACAGAGTTAAGGATGGTATACAACCAACTGTGTCAAGATGATATGCCGATGGTGAGAAGGGCCTCAGCAACTAATTTGGGAAAATTTGCTGCCACTGTTGAAGCTGCATATCTGAAGGCCGAGATTATGTCTATGTTCGAGGAACTTACACAGGACGGTATGCCTAATTTTGAGTCCTTACATTCAGTTACAATATGCTGACCTTTCTGTAGTCTTATTACTGCTCCATAAAATTTCAAATGAAAATTTTCACATTGCATGTTTAGCTTGTCGGCCTGCTCTCTATATGTGATTTATCTCAATTAACCAAATACAACAAATATTTGAAGTATTAGGATGTAAATTACTTACTCTGTCGTCCAGACATATAAATATTATCTGTACACTTTCACATACTTACTTTTAACTTGGATTTGTTCGCTGAGATTTTCTCTGTTCATTACTTTCACTTAATTGTAACACTGACCAAGAGTTGGTCCTGGTCCTAGTGAAAATATCTGACAAATCACAGCCGTGTTGCCTACTTGTCTCTTATTTGATTTATCATTTGAGCTTGTATGATAATATATATATATATATTATCATACATATATATATATATATATATATATATATATATATGCATGTATATATTTTATGTATGGATTTTGTATTTGTTATTCTCCATTATTTACTAAGACAATATCAAAACCAACTGGCAAAGAAATAAGATACGAAAGAGAGCCATTTGATCTTTATGATTGATAAAACGAGTGAAGCATTAGGTATAGATAATTGCAAAGATTGGAAGTAATCAATGAATAATTATCTGCAGTCACTATATACTTTTTCATTATTGAACTACTGAAACAGCCTATGAAGAAGATTCACAGTTGGATTCCAATAAATGGATAACTGAAACTAAAATGATATATAGTTCATTGGTGCCGTTAAAGTACTAAATAATCTTCTAAATGCTTCTTTCAGATCAAGACTCTGTGCGGTTGCTAGCTGTTGAGGGCTGTGCTGCTCTTGGAAAGTTGTTGGAGCCTCAAGATTGTGTTGCACATATCCTCCCTGTAATTGTCAACTTTTCACAGGTACATTTTCAATTTTCTAACTACATTGCTGGTTGTTTTATACTATGCCTGCTATTATTTCACTCTTCATTTGCCATTTTCTCATCTTTTATGGTTCCTCTATTCGAATCTTTTTCTTACTTTTTTGTCTAATTAAGTTATTCCTGATGCATTTATTCTCATTATTAGATATAAAATTGAGCTACGTATTCAAAACCTTCTGTAATATTCATCTTTCCTTGTTTTAATGTTCTTAAATTATCTCTTACCGATTACGTCAGTAGTAAATCTCTCTTGCTCTCTCTTTGGGCATGAGGTAGTTGACATGTATAAAGGTACTGAACTGAAAAGACTCATTTCTTCCTCTAAGTGGTTGCTACTGCTTCTTAATTGCTTTTAACCTTTTTTCTTTTGGTTTTTTTTTGATGTTACTTTCTTTTCTATCATATCAGGATAAGTCTTGGCGTGTACGGTACATGGTTGCCAATCAGCTGTATGAGCTTTGCGAGGCTGTTGGAGCTGAGCCTACTAGGTAGTTGCCTGTTTGTGCTTTTATATTTTGATTTTGATGGCATGCATCTTAAATCATGATGCGACTCCACATGTCTGTAAATTTTCTGTGTTAGATTTTTTAAGTATATATGGATAGATAATTGAGAGCACTATAGTATTTCTTATTTCTGCTTTGATAATAATCGTTGGAAGTAGTGCCATGACTTGTGATGGATACCGAAGCTTTAAGCAGTTAGGAGTTTATTGGTTATGGATGAATGGATACGAATAAGTTATGCATACCTAGGAGGCTATTAGTTATTATGCATTTGTAGTATGTTGCTACTGTCTGTGGCCCTACGTTTAACTTCAATTTACCTTATAACTGACATCTAGAAATTCAGATTGATGATTAGTACATTTTCTCTTTCCTTCTACTTGAAATAAGTTCATGGGGAATTTGTCATTTGATATAATTTATTGTGTTTTAAGGACGGATTTGGTTCCTGCGTATGTGCGCCTACTCCGAGATAACGAAGCAGAAGTGCGAATAGCAGCTGCTGGAAAAGTTACAAAATTTTGTCGGATTCTTAATCCTGAACTTGCTATTCAGCACATACTTCCCTGTGTAAAGGTATCTCCTCTTGTTGTACATCTGGCTGAATTTGTTTGTTAATCACTGAATAAAAGATATATATAGCCTATTCTCTCTTTTCCTAGTTTCTATGAGTATCTCATCAGTGAGAGGTTTGGTTGCAGGAACTGTCATCCGATTCTTCCCAACATGTGAGGTCTGCTTTGGCTTCTGTAATTATGGGAATGGCTCCTGTCTTGGGAAAGGTAACAAAAAGATTTCGCAGCTGATGAGTGTGAGAGTAGCTTTCTTGATGCATGGCTGGGATGGCAGATTATGTGCTTTGCCTCTGTTTAAATTGAATTTAACTAAAACGGCTCCCTGAAGAGCCCAATTACAGCAACCTTCAATTATCTTTTAACATTATAAGTTAACCCCGTAAAAGTGTTTACAGACTCCTATATAGGGTTCCTTTTTGAAAAACAAATTAACAAATTGCACAAATAACACCTATAGCTATAAGATGCATNAAACCTTATTGGGTTATTTTTGTAACAAACTTGATTAGGAATCATTCTAATTTAGTCAAATAGTACGCAAAATTCTTAAGAATGATGTAAACACCTTGACTGTGATTTTGAGACTTAGTATTCTCCTATTTTTATCTCGTCTTCTTGTTACATTCTTCTCTTCGGCCACTAAGAATGGCAATGTTTAATCTGCTAGCGCACATGATTGGACTCAAACATTTTACCATTAAATTTCTGGTGTTGATGCAGGATGCTACAATTGAACAGCTTCTTCCCATATTCCTCTCTCTCTTGAAAGACGAATTTCCTGACGTCCGCCTCAATATTATTAGCAAGCTCGATCAAGTTAATCAGGTATAAGACTTCCCATTCAAATGTTTAATTGTTCGGTTTATTCATTAACTAAAGCTCAACCTTCTTTTATGCAGGTTATTGGAATTGATTTACTCTCCCAATCTTTATTACCGGCTATTGTCGAGCTTGCGGAGGATAGGCATTGGAGGGTCCGACTCGCCATCATAGAGTATATTCCTTTATTGGCTAGTCAGCTGGGGATGGGATTTTTTGATGATAAGCTGGGAGCTCTTTGTATGCAGTGGCTACAGGATAAGGTTCGTGTTTCACTAACAAATTTATGCAGCGACAATTGCTTAAACTGTCGCCAAGCTTTAGCCTAATATAAGATCTCTATATTATTCAGAAATACAGTTAGCCCCTTGAAGATTTGTACTTATAAGAGAACCTGTCTATAGTGCGTGTTCTTCTAGGAAATGGAACAAATATCAAGGCTTTTGTAATTTGAAAAAATAATTATGTTATTTTTTCTTGTTGATAGTTAGATGATACTGGAAGATACATAGTTAGAGATCAATTGATATTCAATTTATTCCAATAGTTGGGCATTTGGGCTCATTTGCTTAGATTATCCATTAGGGTTATAATTAGGGTTAGAACTCTATTTTAAGTAGACTAACATTTGATACATAGGATATCTTTAGTTGAAAAGGATTGTCAGCTTAAAGCTTGGGCAGGAAGTTTCTTCCGGAAGTGTTGGCCTTAGACTAGACGGGATTCGTTTTGAGTTTTTAAGTTATCCTCTTAATCAATAATATCGATTATCTATTATTTTCGTTTGCTTTCATCCTTAACTTTATCAAATGTTCTTTTATCTTTACAAGATTTTACCCATGATTATTGGCTGAAGTATGATGGGGGGACAAATAATTTAAAAAATGGAAAAAAATGTCTGAATTTTTGGATTGGGTGTAGGTTTACTCCATCCGGGAAGCTGCAGCTAATAATTTGAAGCGCTTGGCAGAAGAGTTTGGTCCAGAATGGGCAATGCAACATATAATTCCCCAGGTTCGTGAATTACTAATGGCCCATCTGATTTTCATTTTTTTTTCAGTTTTTATTTATTTCTGAACTTAGTCATGCCGATTTATTGTTTTACTTAAGTTTCTCCACTTTTAAATGTTCATAAACTTTCGGCATTTCCTGTTCAGGTTCTGGATATGGTACACAGTCCGCATTATTTGTACAGGATGATCGTTCTTCAGGCGATCTCATTACTGGCTCCTGTGATGGGTTCTGAGATAACGTGCTCTAGATTATTGCCAGTTATCATAACTGCAACAAAGGACAGGTAGTTGCTGTTTCACTATTTCTGTAAGAATCTTACTTCCGCTATCACACTTTTTAGTTTTTACTCTGCTTGTAAGCTGAAATGGGACCATTACTTTGCAGGGTGCCGAACATCAAATTTAACGTGGCTAAGGTGTTGCAATCCATGATCCCCATTGTTGATCACTCCGTAAGTCAATTCACTTCATCACCTCATTCTTTTGTGTAGGTAAAAATTACAACATGTCCCTTCCCAGAAAAGGTCAATTTTCCTTTTAAAATTATAAATACCCTCATTTACATTTGTTTACGTTTTACAAATTATGTACTCCGTGGGGGTATTCGTGAAGTTACAAACGACTTTGGGTTTGTCTGTAATTCTTTTTCTTTTTCTTTTTCTAAAAGAATGAATTTTTTGTAATTAAGCTGAACCCCTGATAGTTTTGGTTTGGGGAATTTATGAGCGCTTGATCCCTTACCTGTATAGAGAGGTGGTGCAATATTCATGCTGCAACTTTTGTAATTATACTTTTTAGCCTTAAATGTTATCGTTTCCTTCTAGTTTTTGATCCCATAAATTTTGATTTGTACAATCTGGTCCATGAAATTAATTTGTTGCATATTCGGTCTAGAAGTGCTATTTCTGTGTTTCACGTTTTTCTTAAGTGCCCTTGGTCGGCAGTTGCAAAACAAATGAGTTCTATTTCTGCAGAATGAGAAAATTATGTGAAATGGTAAAATTACAACTTCAAAAGTCACTAAAATTGCCGAAACCCCTATAAGCTCATCACATCCTTTTAATTTCCCCCGTGTAATCTTTTGTTAATTTATGAAACTCCTTTTTTTTTTTTTG